AAAGCCATTTTGTTAACAGTAATTAAGCAGAGAAAACTCTCAGATGTCCTTCGCCCCTGGCCACAGCACTTTAGAACTCGCTCATTCATGCCCTGACTTATAGGTTTTGGTTTTCACATTTCTAAGACACAATTATTTCCTCATTATAAAAATTAAATCAGATGCATATCTGAAGTTCTAATGATAGAAACTATATGTGTGTTTTCCGATGTACAAATGTGTGGGCTCCTGAGGCAGAAAGCAAGTTTGAAACTAAGCAGAAGAAATCCTTTTTACATTTTCTAATATTTCCCTAAGTGGTAACAAATTAGTTGCCAAGTATCTCTCTTTGGGTGGTGTGGTTTAGTGTTTCCAAGACTGGGAAAATAAACTTAACTTCTGATTTGTGATAAATTCTCGCCTGAGAATGAGACAGATTAGAATAAAGATGTAGATTTACTCTGAAGTAAGAAATTTCATGGACTGGTTTCTGGACATGTCTCCTTTGCAATGAACACCACTGAGTCATAACATACAAGGAGTATTACCCGTTGTCGAAATGGCCATGCATTCCTAAAGATATGGTGATTTTACAATGTTAAAATCACACTGTAAGCATTAAACATGGTGTCCTTTATGGAAGATTGCTAAAATCCAATAATTCAAGAGCAGATCATTTGATGTATTGCCTAAATATTTTTCCTTACATACACATAACTTCCTCAATGACAGTTATTTTGAAGATATATTTGGCACAACATGATTCCTTACCTACCATCTCTAAGATTAAGTTATTAAACTGCTTAATCTACATTAAAAAGAGAGTGCTTTCAGCCCTCCTGGTGTGGCTCAGTGGCTGAGCATTGACCCATGGGCCAAGAGGTCACTGGTTCGGATCCTAGTCGGGGCACAAGCCAGGGTTGCAGTCTCGATCCCCAGTAGAAGGTGTTCAGGAGGCAGCCAGTTGATGTTTCTCTCTCATTGATATTTCTATCTTTCTAGACATCTCCCTTTCTTTATCTCTAAAAAAAAATCAATAAAAACATACTTTAAAAAAAGAGAGCTTTCAGATGTCAGCCAATGTGAATATGCATATTTCAGACGTCTTTATGTCTAAATCAATTTGCATTGTATAAAATTCTAAAATCAGAAGTAGTCAAGTTGTTTGGCCAATGATAGATTTTAGATAAAAAGAGTTATACATATATATTCATTCACTATATATGTGACGCTTTATATATAAATATTTATATTTTATATATAGAGAGTATCCAAAAAATGTAAACACACACTTTGAATAGTTATAAGGGCAGTGTTTATTAACATGTATTTCATTTTCAAAATTGAGCTATCAGCTGTTAAAGTGTATATACATTTTTTGGGAAGCCCTATATTTATGTTATCACTCATATTATGAATATAAAACATTTTTGTATGTTGTAATGATTCACCTGTACGTTGCTTATGACAATTATTGATAGTTAATTTTCAGAAATGCATTGGTTATGTATTTGAGTTTTCAAATTTTATCTGGACTATATATCCTGGGAAAAGCTCAATTTTCTCACACACACAAACAAAGATGTGTGTATGTGTGTGTGTGTGTGTGTGTGTGTGTGATTTATGGTATAGAATGAACTGCAATACTGTAGTCATTTGATTGACTTTATATCATTTGAAAAAATATCTTATAAATTAAGATGCAAAATTAAACTATTTAGGATGACAGTATTTAGATCCCTCCCTAAGGGAGCTTGTGCAATAGTCAAATGAGGCTATATGACTACAGAAAATGATTCTTAATGCTAAATTTAATGCTAAACAAGTATTCCAATTTATCTGATGGTCACATGATTCTTCAGACAATCATACATTTAAAAAATTAGAAATTGGAAACTTTTTCTATAGGCAGAACTGTCCAGATTTTTAGCTGTTGGACTTCAGAATTGCTTTGTCTTTGCAATATAAACATGCTTATTTCTCAATTTTTCTCATCTGCATACCATTTGGATTAGTCCATTTTTCTGGTAGAGGGTGAATTCTGTTGAAGAGAAATCATGTTATATTGAGTAAAGTATTAAAATAAAGGTAAATAATTCCCTTATAATCTCAGATTGCTCCAGAAGACAAAAGTAAATCTTGGATCAATTATTTTTGCTTTGATTTCTTCTGCCCAGTGTCTCTAAAATTGTTTTCTGATACAAATATTTGTTTTTGGTTACACTCATTTATGCAAATAGGGGCAGTCTTTTATAATTTGCTTTAAAAAAATCCTATAGCTTCTAATTCAATATATCTATTTTGGGATCCATTTTCTCTAAGATGCAGAAGTTTACCTACATTTATAGTTCTAAGGCTTGAGAAAACACTCAACAATATTATTCTTTATTATACACAGGTTATTGAGGAGATTTTGCAAATATATAACAAAAGATACACATGGCAGAAATCCTCCTAATGCAACTCCCTTTCTTTAAAACGTTTCCCCCTCCTCTTCCCTCTCTGCTTCCCTCCTCTGCCTCTCACCCTTCACCTAGCTTCTCTTCTTCCCTCTTTCTTTGTTTTTTTTTTCTTTTTGGTGTAGCTAATCATACATTATGTGTCTCTTTTCTGTACCAACCTATTTATCTTTTTATTGATGTTACTTCAAAAATAATTTTACTATCATAAATTCTTATTTGACCCCTGCAGTTATTGTTTACTTTATGCTCATAGTTTCTGCTGCTAGTGCAAAAGTGTCCGTTCTATTTTCTTCACTGTCTGTGAACTGCTGCCATCAAAATTGCAGCCTAATCACAAGGTGAACAGCTTATAATGTATCACAATCAACACTCAAAATTTGCTCCCTAGGATGTGACATGAAGGAGTCAAGTAAAAAGCTGCAGATTTTCAGCAGTAAAGTGCAAACAATCATTTTATGTTGAAAATCAAGGTCGATTTTCACTTTCATATATCTGCATTATTCTATCACTTTCACTCTCTTTTTAAATTCATATTGAATTTATTCAGTGTTAGGCTATCCAAATAGCTGAAATTGAAGGCCAGTCACAATTGGAATATAAAACTATGTTATTATGTTTCAAAGAGAGTGTATGGATTGCAAATGAATTTTTAAAAAAATTTGACTCTAAAAGATTCAAAAGTATCACCAAGTGAAATAGGTAGTAAAGTGTTCTACTGTATTTTTGGAGGACAAAATTGGTTGAATGAAATAATACCTTTTTTTCCTAATACTTACTGGCACATATATGGAAGTATTATTTATGATTCCCATTCAGAATAGGTAAAGAAAATAGATACCAGATATTAAACTTTTCAGGATATTTTTTTCTATAAAATTTCTATTGTACTTTAAATCTATACAGGAAGGCATTTTAGAAAATGTTATGTTTCTGGATCCTTCTTCTTCTCTTTATGTTCATCTGTCTAACAATTTCATGTCAGATAACATTTGAGTCTCTGGGTAAAAGATCAGTTGGAAACTGCATTTCAACATACTTACCTGCATTACATACTAAACTTAACATATTTAATTTGCTCACAGGTAAATATATTTTAAAAAAACATGACATACCTAAATATGTTTCAAATGTTTCACGTGTTAATGATACATGCTAGTAATGCCACAGTATTTTGTTCTGTCATGACAGTATTTAGATAAGTTTAAAAAATGTTAATGTCATAGGAAATTTCATCTTAAAATCTTCTGAGATAAATCAAGTTGTATTGTATATATTTTTTTCTTTTTTAGAGAGGGAATTATTTATGTGTTTTAAATATAAATTCAGATTTTATTTATGGCTTTGAAAAGTAACTGTATAAATTTATCAATGCTATTAAATTTGCTTCTCCCTATTTTAAATATCTTTCATGTGAACATTTTTCTCCTTGCACATGACACTATAAATTTGTCAAGATCCTCACGCGTCAATTTAGTGACAATCCCAAGGGTTCTTAAATATGTAGGGAATTCTATTCCCATCACACAGAGGTAAATTGTAAATATCCTCTCCTAAAAAAAGTTTCTGATTTAAAGGATCATTAAACATTAAGGGAAATAGCTATTTCAGATGAAAAGGACAACTAGGAAGACGAAGTTCAAAGTTGTAGTTTAAAATATTGGGGTCATGGAAGTATGCAGCTGTTCTTATAATGAAGAAATTTTCTTTCATGTTTTCTTGTTCAGCATCTTTGAAATAAAGGTAATTAAAAAAGCTTTATTTAGATTATCTATATTTCTATGGGCAAAAGAGAGAAGCAAAAATTCTCACAGAAAGCACTATCATTCAAAATAGGAAATCATGATTTGTCATTCACTCTGAACTATATCTGTTGACTAAATCCATTTTCACCTACTTACACCAAAAACAAAAATCTAATGTGAAAAAAAAACTGATTATATGATCCATACCGATATCTAATAAAATAGAAATGTGCACTTTTTGACAAGTTTATTCATAACACATTCTGATAAAAATTTCCATTTGCTACTCTCAGCAGGAAAAATAGGCTTTTAAAGGAAACCTTTTATTTTATGCTGTCACCAAAATAACAATTACAAGGAAAATAGGGATAAAACATTTAAAAATAAGCTTAGGACTTGTTATAAAAGTCTGCAATCCAGTTTTTGCCCTGTTATCTGGTTTGAAAAATTAATCCGAGTAATCCTCTTTGAAGCTCACTGTTTCCAGGATGGGTTATACAGAACAAAGACTAACTGCTATCCCAAGGACATTAGTTTTTAGTGTTGTTCTATTCTACTGAGAATGATTCTCCAATGGCCACTTTTTCTTCTTCCCAGGCTATGGGAATTCATTAATATCTAGAGACTAGACTTAAATAAAACCATTGTCTCAACCAGCAGGTTTATGCAACCATCCTGAAATGTTTTAATTATTGTTTTCTTTTCCTTTTTAATTAAGAGACCAGAGGTCAAGCAGGCCCACTGAGAGCTGAACGGAGCCTTGGTAGAAATGTAAAGGCAACTCTAATGATGGGACTTGCTGTTTTTTGTCTTGCAGAACCAGAAGAGTGCATTAATTGCACAGATGAATGCCGAGTGCTTGGTCATTCTGACAGGTGTTGGATGCCACAGTTCCCTGCAGCCAATCAGGCTGAAAACGCAGATTACCGCACAAATCTCTTTGTACCCACAGTTGAAGCTAATGTTGAGACTGAGACTTACGAAACTGTGAATCCCACTGGGAAAAAGACCTTTTGTACATTTGGAAAAGACAAGCGAGAGCACACTATTCTCATTGCCAATGTTAAACCTTATTTAAAAGCCAAACGTGCCCTGAGCCCTCTCCTCCAAGAGGTCCCCTCAGCATCAAGCAGCCCCACCAAGGCATGCATGGAGCCTTGCACCTCAACGAAAGGCTCTCAGGATGGTTGCGAAGCGAAACCAGGAGCCCTGGCCGAAGCAAGCAGCCAGTATTTGCCCACTGACAGTCAGTATCTGTCGCCCAGTAAGCAACCAAGAGACCCTCCCTTCATGGCTTCCGATCAGATGGCAAGGGTCTTCGCCGATGTCCACTCCAGAGCCAGCCGGGATTCCAGCGAGATGGGGGCCGTTCTCGAGCAGCTTGACCACCCCAACAGGGATCTGGGCAGAGAGTCGGTGGATGCGGAGGAAGTCGTGAGAGAAATTGATAAGCTTTTGCAAGACTGTCGGGGAAATGACCCTGTGGCTGTGAGAAAGTGAGAGGAGGAACACAAACAACAAAAAAGCATTGGCATTTTCTGATCTCTTCTGTTGATGTAAAAATGATCCCTCCTGGTGACAACCTGGTTTAGGGGGATGAAGAGACCAATGCTGCTTTAAGGCTTTCCGTGAACATCTGAAGTGCCCACAAGTATGTCCTTTTCACTGCTATTTTTTTTTTCAGAGATAACAATGGTTGTGTTTTGACCAAACTTATATTAGGACAGAATTGATGATGCTCAAAGAGGAAAGAAAAACAGAAGAAAAAGGAGGATGAGGAGGCAAGATACCTTTTGACCATCTGTTAGGAGGTATGCGTGGGAGAAGTGAAGTGTTCTTGATCACTGTAAGACTGTCCTCCGTGACTTATGCTGACTCCACTGTTTACCTATAAACCCCATACAAAGCAGGGTCATAATGTGTGCTCTGTGGTGGATTTTTAGCAGTCATCACAGGCTTCTACTGAAAGTCCCGCAAAGACCTTGCAGTAGTCCAAGCTACACCAAACATGAATACATATTTGTGGTAAGCATTTCTGTATAAAGTTACCTGCCACACATATCAACACAAAGAACATTCCATATCATTAGTTGAAAAAAAAATTTAAAAATACTTGGTCATTTGTAAGACACCTCATGTCGTATAAAAGTTAAGTGTAAAAAGATATAGTCCATTTTTGTCCTGCACACACACAGACTAATTCACTTCACTAAAAGAGGAGAAAATTTGACGTTTTGAAATTTCTCTTTAGCATTTTAGTGTCCAACAAATATATAAATAATGATAGATCTATTTTTAATTTGACCTAGAAAGATTCTGAAAAAAATAGTTACCATTGAATAATACTATTCAGAGAAAATTAACATGATTAATGTGTTTTACTTATTTGTGGACACTAAAATAGCTTAGGAAAGGGAAAATGTCTTAGACATACACAAATCACATGATCATTTATATGTGCAAATGTAAGAAGATTCAATGTGTTTACATCAAATGACATATTTTTATTGATTTATTGCAGATTCAGTGCATATGAGCCAAATTGTTGAGTGTATAAGAGCTATATTGTGTATTTTATTAAATTAATATATAGTTGTGTTGCAAAAATATTTGGGCTTATATTGTAAATGGCAAGTGTTGCCTCAGTAGCTGTCGAACTCTATGAGTTTTGTTTTTTCCTGCTTCCTTTTCCCCATGGAGTGTGGGAAGCAGTGCCTCAGAGCAAAGTCTCTTGTTTAATGTATAGTCTACCAAGTACTACAGTACATAATCTGTTCAAAATGTGTTTGAGTGAGCCGATGGAGCTATCTGAAAGGTCAAAAAATACATCTGTCAGTCATGGTTATGTGCAAGTCCTTGTAGAAGCTTTTATTAAAGTCATGCTAAATCACAAGAATGGCATTTGTACCAATACCTGAAATTTCTTCATGTTTTCTCAATAACATACAGTTTCTGCCTCTGTAGATATCATACTGTTGATTGGTTTTAAAAGTATCTTATGTGGTTCAAGATGTGTGTTCCCATTGATTTCAAAACCATGAAAAATGCTTTAATGCATGTGTGATACCAGCCCTGGTTATTTGCATTGTGTAGTGTTTTTCAACAGGCCTGGGTCTTAACAGAATGTTTTCCATTTTTCTCAATGTGCTTCTGCCTCTTTTTATTGGTGTCCTTTGAGAAAAATACACCTCCTATTCCTTCATTTGCTTGCATTTTTTTTCTTGTGTCATTTAGCAAGTTTCAAACTTACTTCCATGTGAGGCTAGGAAACCTCAAATTTCAGGAATTGGGAAAAATAAAATTAGCACTTGCAGAAGTAGCAGCAGATGGGAAAATGCCTTGATTGACATTTTCCTTCAGTGTTAAAATTTTTTGGCATTTTACGGCTTCATGACAAACAGCTTCCAGCCCATACCTTAGAAAATGTGGTGCTGAGTTAAATAAAGGCTGTTTGTGCACTGGAGCAGAAAAATGCATTATTTGCAAACTGGTGGAGAATTCTGTGCCTTCTTTTCTGGCCACCAAGCCAGTGTAGAAACAGCATAAATGTCATAAAATTCCTAGATTAACAAAAACAAGAGTGAAAACAAACACTGAACTGAAGTAAGTTTTGTAATTTTAAACCTCAACGAATTCAACTGAAAACATTTCCCTCAAATGCTGTCAAGATTTTAGACTGTACCTCCTTTGCAAATTGCTTTGAAAGGAAGAGTGAACAACTCCCATCAGCCTTATTCTCTGGAGAACTGTATTTGGTTCCTAGTAACAGCCTTTCCAAAGCTCTATTATTGGTTTTTATCATTTGTAAATGTTTAAATTAGAAAAGAAGGGATCTTGTACATGTGAAACCGAATTGACTGTCTATATTTTGGACAATTTATGTATCTGAAATGTGTTGTCTATGTTATATGATGTTACTTTTTGCCAGGAGACCACAGGTTGATTTAGTTTGATAGCAGACATTTGATGGATTTCCATTTAGTCTTACCAAGTGTTGCTTCTCTCTTACTAGACAGATAGCCACTTAGTAAAATCTAAGGCAGTATGTAACTGACATAAAAAAGAGATTAGGGTTTGTTTTTAAAACATTCTTAACTTTGAGTAACCAGTTGTTCAATTTAGTATATGTGTCTGAAGACATTACAATGCTATAAGACTTTAAGAATTGGTGTGCCAATGTGTGAGGGGTTTCGCTTTCGGCTCTCTGTCACCAGTGATTTACTAGTGTTAGCTGTTTAACATGTTATCTGCATTTAGTAGTGGTTATTTATTTGCAAGTTGGTGGTAATTCAGCAGTCAGGACTCTAAGCTTTTATAACTGAATTGAGGGAATCTTGCTCTTCTTCATGCTGGCAACTACCTTTATCACAGACCTCTGGTGCTTGACTTCCAAGGAAGTCTATGAGATGCCAAAATCACCCTTTTGGGGAGCAACTTGCTCTAAGAGGTGATACACAATCCAACATCGCTGTTCCAAGGGGTTTCAGCATCATTCAGAATATAAAATATTAATTCACATCTCCATTTACTAACCCTCAGAAAAACTCCACACATTCAAAATGAATACTTTGATGATACTTTTTCTTTTAGGTTCTTAAATAACTGATGTCAAGCACAGAATAGTAATTTATATGAACTTTCATAAGAAAGTCAAAGTTTTAAAAATTGTTTACTGATGAACTAAAAAAATCAGTAACAAAATCTTTCCATAACATGCTAATGATGAAAGATCTTTTCATCAAAGTTAAAAGTAGTAAGAATCAGTGTTAGTTATACCTATACCAAAGTAAACATTAAAGAGACATTTCACACAATTTCAAACAATGCTTTCATATTATTTCTTAACCTGACATCCAATTGCAGGCAATATACAAAGATTGGCTCACTGCTCTATTAATTAATTGAATTCCTGATTTGGAAATGGACTTGTTTTGTTTTCCTAAATTAGCAGAGATCTTGTAAAATATGACTTCCCTGTAAAAGATCTAGGCACTGCCCGATTTAAAAAATGACACCATAAAAATATGGTCATGTAGTAAGAGAACAGTATGCTTTATTAGAACCAGGTTAAAAACTGTTCATTGCCTAATGGAGTATAAGTTGCTGAGGTCAACTGGGAAACTGAGGTCTGGCATAATACATGCCCACTCATCATTGTCTAATTATATTATATTATTTTGACAACAGACAGCATTTATTAGAGCATTAATTCAAATGAGAGTTTTGGCTATCAAGATGTGTTTTGAAACATAATTGAATGAGACCTGATTAAAGGCTGACTTTCCTGGCCCCAGTGTTTTGCAGGTTGGCTATTTCCATATATCAACTCCATCATACCATAAGGTTCTTAGCTGCACCAAGTGATTGGTGAACAAAGACAACAACAAAAGCAGCATACATTTTATGGATTTATCTCAATGCTATTATTTAATGGCTGTGTTTATGTGACCTATCTGGAAAATGAGGACTCCGAATAAAAAGCTATTACTAATAGTGGCATTGCATTCCCTTGGATTCATTAACACACAAGTGATGTGTTACACATTGCATGCCCCAGGGACCCTGGTCATAATTAATTTGGAAAGCAACTGTGGCAGCACAACTGTTTATGCTAGTTATTTGTTTGCTAGTAAAATAAGATTTTACAAAATTTTATGTAACAATAATGTCACTAAGTTCTCTCTGAAATGAGTTAACAGTCATCCAGATTGTTTAGATAAGTTGACTAGTCAAATAATTTCTAGGGATTCATACTATAAAGAAACTTGTGGTTTTTAATATTTAAAACTGGTTTGAAGGTAATTTGGTATAAGATCCTACTACTCCAGGATTTTAGAAATAAACCCTCTCATAATCTTACATTATTGAAGAGAGTACATATTTATAAATGACATTTTAAAGTAAATACATGTTCATCTTAGCAACTTAAAATAATAAGTTTCTCTTTCTACTCATTCAACAAACATCTACTGAATTTCTGTTGTGTGTTTGCCATGGGCTGTTATGCCCTAGGAGTAAACAGTAAACAAGGATTGATGCTTGGGTGAAAGCCTGGTGAGAGAAACAAATAGGTAAGTTCTAATACACATGACTGTTTATAAATTGGATTTAATTGTTTGCATTTTCCTCAGTTACTCCACAATCTGACTCTCAGTGAGGGGCATCTCCTAAATTACAAATCAATATAATAGTCTGCCCATTTAGATTTTCTTTTAATTTTAATTTTCTTGTGAGGGCATAACTTATATCAAGAAAACTGCATTGCTTTTTCATACTGAAGAAGATGTTTAAGTTTTACAGTTATTGGGATAGACTCCATGGCTTATCTACTCAGTCTTTTGCTCATTTTATTTGTCGACCTCTCTGTTTCTTTTTCATTGAGCATCACTTAGGTATCAAGTGCTTCACAGGGACCCTGAGGTACAAAGAACTACACCAATTACATTTTACCCTCAGAGTACTTATAGTTTGTGCCTAGGTGATATACATTACATTAAAATAGAAATTGACCTTATGTTGCCATGACAACATTACTTTTGTATAATGAAAATAAATTCATTCTTAAGAAGAACAAAAGCTACATGCCTATCATGCCATTCACTGCTTTCAAGAGTGAAATGAGAGCAAGCTGTTCATTGACTCAATTGAACCGTCTGATCACTGTTGAGAGAGCACTGAGTTGCTGAAGTGAAGAACCTACCTGGCCATGCTACAGTCAGGAGGAAGTGATGAATGAAACATATATTACAGGCTTACTTCATGACAATGAATGATGGAAGTCCCATGAATTATGTTTTTTAAGTAGATATGCTCACAAGTTACAATTATTTAGTAATTGTAGACAACAACTCTTTGTAAAATATGAACAGAACCCAATTTAAAGTTCATCAATGTGGCACACAGAAATAAATCAGCAAGTTAATGGACCATCCTCAAACCTCTTCAGTATGTGTTTTTGAGATGGTTGCACATGGTTCACCAAGGAAATGTATCATTTTCTGCTCATTTTAGACACTATAAAACTGGACAAGCCACTGGACATTAGGAATTAAATTCTCAATATTCTTAAAAGAGGGTCCCCCTTTTTAGTATTTTAGATTCAAAAAAAATTACTGTTTTTTTTTCCAAACTAGTTTAAATGGTAATGAGTATCTTACATGCAAAGATGGATTAAGGGGGGAAGACCTCAGGGAGCATTTGCAAACTGTCTCACACCAGTTGACATCACCCATTAGATCAAGATAACTATTCTATTTTTGTCTTACAAATGAAACACTTCACTTTAAGAGGAACTTAATATTTATTCCCCTTCTTTTTATACACATTAAATTATCTGTAACATTTTAATAAATAACATTTTGAGTATGATTTATATTTAAAAATCTAGTTGCCTGAAGTTATGTTACTCAGTCAAACTGTTTCATAATATTTTTTTATGATTGTTAAAAAACAAACATTAAATTTGGAACCCTCTCTCTGTTCACTTTAAACAGATTGTCGTATTTCGTGGGAAATATTGGTGTTCATCATTGCTTGCATGAAAATCATTCTTACTTCCCTAAGGGTTTTCAGCACCAGGAAGACTGACTAAGAGTTACACAAATATAAATTAATACTGATACATTCTGCTTGTAGAGAACTTTCCAATTTACAGAGCATTTTCACAAAATTATAAGACAGTACAGAGTTAAGGATTCTGAAGCTTAAAAAGGCAAGTGCACTTACATTAAGCTAGGAAACCTTAAGACCACACTTGAACTGAAAGTCCTGTTGCTGTGTTTGTTTCAGATTTTGTGAATCTGCAATCTTGTCCAATCTAATCTTTTGCCTCTCTAGTGTCTTAAATTTATCACCTGAAAAATTATATTATGCTAGTAATATTCCTCCCCCTATAAATTAACAGTCACATCATAGAATTTAGATAGCCTCTATGTTAATTGCTCATAACAGTAGTAAATAAATTAAAAAGCAGAGAATAGGAATGACAGTTTCCAAGAAAATTTAATGACATAAGAATTGTGCTTCCTTTAAGATTCCCTCAACTTTTTTACCTTGGTGTTATGTTCTCAAAAATATTCTAAAAGGCCCTGACCGGTTTGGCTCAGTGGATGGAGCGTCGGCCTGCGGACTGAGGGTTCCCGGGTTCGATTCCAGTCGGGGGCATGTGCCTTGGTTGCGGGCACATCCCCAGTGAGGAGTGTG